TTCCGTGTCATGGTAGTTGGAACATCAGATTCCTTTTCACATGACTGGCTTGTCACTTGTTTAACATCAAGCGTAAAAAAACTGTTTGATGGTTCTACTGTATACTAGAAGAGTCGTGAGAGGATATTTTCTGAATAGAATAATTTCAGAATTTTTTAATAACTCCAAACAGAATTTATTTTAAATTAAAGGAATAACTCTCATCATTGATAAAAGACAAAAATATTTAAGTAACTACAGAGTCATCTGCTACAGCTAGTGCTATAATTTCATAGTGATTATACATCATTTATATAAATAACAGACTCAAATGTCTAAAATAGGTTTTATTTTTAAATATACTGCATTAACTGGAGATAGTTTAGGACCATAATGAAAAACTGGCATTTAGGTTTGCTAAGCCTGCAATTGCTTAAGATATTGTTATTTAAACACCTGGAGTAGTGTAGCAAGCTTACACCATTAGTAAAACGACAATCTATAGTTCAAATATTGTATAAGTATCTCTAGTGAACATTATATGAGTATTAAGATAAACATTCACAGCTAATTTGTTCACACAAGCCTATTCTAAACCCCACATCTGGAAAAACCGCGTATTTCCACAAATCCTAACACATTCAGATCAACCAGCCATTCCTGACTTCAGCAGTCTTCATGGGATAGCCTTCATGTTAATCCTTTTTGATTTAAAAAAAGCATAAAACGCTTTGTCCCAAGATGGATTTCATCCTCCAATGGATAAAATATGCTGAGAACTAAAAGCCTGTCTCCCAAGTAAAGTGCTTCCCCTCAGACTTTGACTGAACATCTCAACCTCAGCATCTCAGAACTGAACTGGCTGTTCTCAATATGACCAAACTTGGCAATGATAAAGCCCTGCACTGGTTTGCATTTGAAGAGACTCCTGCCTCCCTTGTTCCTACAAGCTTCTCTTTCTGTTTGTCTTCTTCCTTGCAGAGAAGCTTCCCAATAAATCTGACTTAAATTTCTTTTATTTGTCTAAGAGCACAAATTCAGTGACTCCATTGGCACTTTTCTGCTTTTTGTATATAAAGTACATAATTTTCTGTCTTTCCACAGTTTAAGTGCCAGTCTCATGTTTTAATTCCAATGCTTTTTACTTGAGTAACTATCATATTTTATTCAAAGCTCTTTTTTATATTGAAACTGGTCAAGCATGCTAATATTCCGCTCTTTTCTGCTTCCTACCTTTCAAGTAATATATTTCTTAGACCTCACTCTTGGCTTTCGTAGACAACTTTTAAAAATAAATAAAGCACTAAACTGATAATAAATATTCAAGACAATCCATTTCAGAATTAAATAATAATGGTATTTGCATTATATTAAATTTTATCATGTGATGTTTGATTAGTGTTACAAGAGCTAGTTGCCAGACAGATGTGAAAGATTATTGACTTTTTGAATTAAGACCAACTTTGTGGTCACATATTCTAGCACACCAAACATAATCAAATGTTGGTCCAAGGCTGCAACTCTTTGATATCACTACATGGAAAAAACAAAATAGAAAAAAGAAATAAGCAGCTGAAAAAATACATATGGATAATTGAACTGAATTTTCTGTTCTGAATTAGGAAGTTGGTGAATTGAGATTGAGGCAGGAAGTGATAGGACTTGTAAATCTATTGTGGATTATGGGTTATCTGAGATAGAAGAAAAAACCATCTAAATCTCTTCGATCATCTGACAACAGACCCTTTCCAATTACTACCAGCATTTCAAACTGTGCTTTTTCCTGTTTTAGAGAGGTGAGTATACTCTGTGTATTTAGCACAAAATATTTTAGTTAATATAACACTACAGAGCTTTGAAATGCAAGATCCTAAAAGATTTAAAAAATAAACAAATAAAAATAAAAGTATGGCTTGATTCTGTGAAGTTAATCTGCACATTTTTGGTCAGCGATGGCCACAGAGAGTATAAAATGAATTGAATTTACATGTTTAGTGTTAAAAATATATATGCACATGGTCCTGGGGCTGTAACCAGAGCTTCCCTCAAATGTGTTATTCCTGACAAACAGAAGTGAGAGGAGACTCCTGTACTGCTCATCAGTTAATGCAGCTTGTCTGGTAGGACTTGAAATAGATTTGACTTTACTAACAAAATGGTTGGTGCTAGCATTCTAGAGGGCATTTAATCTTATGTTTCCTAGCTTAGAGTTTCAGCTAGGAGAGAGATTCATGCTTTCTAACAGTATTTTGTAAGCAACATAGGACAAAGACAACCAGTAATTCAAATAAATAATTTTGGATTTTAGTAAGATTCAGGTCCACAGAAGTGGTACATTTTTTTAAAAAGGCTGTACCTGGAGTATTACATGTAGTACCATTAAAGCCTCTGGTGATACAAGCAAATTACATAACAATTTCAGCTATAATAAAATGTGTATAATTTTCAAGCTGTGCTAAATTTTTATAGCTATGTCTTCCACTAGGTAGAAAAAAAAACTAATTCTGAATAACAACTTTAAAAAGGAGTAAAAAAAATTCCATCTATTATGACTCCTATCAGTCAGCATACAGATTAATTTCAACACAGAATGATGTCAAGGTCTCAGGTACGTCATCACTGTTTCAGTATGGCTTCATTATAATTAGCAAGAAATAGTGCAATGATAGTACAATGGAAGTGTAGGCAGAAGTACTAACATTGGTTGAATTTAATGCCCTTGAAGACTGCCAACATGGTATTTGCTTAAGAGAGAACATATAGGTAGAAAAAAATTTTTTTTTTCATTAAATACCTATATTCAATATGCACCAGGCATCAGAATTCAAGATGAGCCAGAACTTTCTCTCCTTGGTTATATATAGACAACTGACTGAAAATAACTAAAATCTAGAAAAATATATATCATTAGGTTTTGAATCAAATAATCTCAGAAGCAGTCAGATCAATGGTCTAGCTACTGACATGTCACTGTGATTTATAGTGAACACTGTTGTTTTGAGGAAAGTAGAACATATTCACAGACAACCTTCCCCTTCCTTGTACACTCCACAAATTACCATGAAAATCTCAAAAAACTGGTTATCTGAAAACATTCTTCCAGAAACTTCCTCCTAAATCTTCGAATGTACAGAGGTTACTTTATTTCTCATGTACCCAGGTGCAGAACTCCCTGCAAAACCCTTGCATATTTCTTATTATAAATCCTATATCCTCTAGTGTGTTTAATTCTTTCTGAATGTGAGACTTTTACGTCAATACATTTCTTTACAAAGTAATTTGTCACCTTTCACCTTCAAAATTTATGCTATGAAACAGAATGAGAGGCACTCCTATGTAACTTACAGATTATCTCTGTCACAGCACTGTTTCTTTTCTAAAGGTCACAATTATTTCAGCATCATTTCGTGCAAGAATATTCCCATACTCATCATACTTTGTTTCCCATGTCCTGAAGTTCACAGGTGGCAATGGCACTGTTCCTGCAAATTGTGAGACTACAGTCTGACTCATCATCTTCACATTCCTTTGTCCTTACCATGTGTTTCTCTGCTTGTTCAGGAGGAAAACATGAAGAATTATTCTGAAGTGATGACATCCTAAACCAGAGATCAATTGCATTCACACTTGACAAAATCTTGCTTATGGGAAGAGGTGGGAAGGAAAGGCAGACTGTTAAAAGGGTACTGGAGTGGATTTAATCATTAGATAAGAGGGTTTCTTTACAGCGCCAAGAATCCTTAAGAGTTAAACTGGATACGGTTACCATGGAGCTAAGACTCCCACAGAAAAAAAATTACAGCATTTTGAAACATTTGTTGGAAGCACACAGGCAGCAAAATAAATGACACTGCACCTGCTTTCAGGCTTTATTAGGTCACTTAAATTCTACCTGCAAGTGGAAGCTCAAGGGAGGGATTTTTACAGACTTTTATAGGATATTTCAGCCATAGCCTTTCTGATTTAGAAATCTCCACCTGAGAACTGCAGATAAATTTCTTGTGCAATGCAAGACTTAACCATATTAATATAATTACTTATTATCAACAATGGTTCCAAGTAAACTGAGGGGTATGGTTTAACTGTGAATGTTAAAAAAAAACCCAAAAGGCAACAGAACGCTGACTTCAATCTTTCCCCTTCTTTGTTAGGAACTGCATTTCTACTTTTGAATTTGGTAATATGAATGGCGTCCCATGCCTGAAAGAGTCACAGCTATAAAATTTACCTCTCAATAGCTGGGCAAGACACTGGCTTCCGTGAAATGTGTTTGTCTTTTGCCTTAGACCTAGTTAATGCATACTCCAAGACAAGAGGATTTGCCAGATCTAAAGCCATGGTGATAAAGGTATAGTCAAGTTTTCTGGGAAATTATTAGCATAAACTATTCTATAATCTGCAGAAGTAAACTATCACACACTCATGGAGAAGAATAGTATAGCAGTTAGCCCTAGTTCTGCCCCAGTGGCCCCTGATTGCCTGTTCTAGCTTGGCTACAAGTTTTCACTATGTGCACCTTGAGCATAAGTCATTTAACCTTAGGGCTACCTTTGAGCTCCTCTATGCATAAGCAAAAATATTTCACTATCTCACACAGCAAGGATAAGCATATTAAAAAGACTGACATCCCTGTAAGCCAGAGACTTGCTTATATTTTCTTTTAACACTGTACTCTTCATAAACACTCAATGGTCAGGAATGCCCTTCCTGCTACCTGAGGACAGAAATCCAGCTAAGGCTGTAAGCCTGATTTGGAGGGGTTTCGCCTATAGACAATGTTATTCCTAAATTCTTTCTTCTGGCTTGGCACTAAAGACTTTTTTGCCAGCTGATTCTGTCTCAGTGGAGACACTTCCAGAAAAGCCCTGTGCCAGGTACAATATAAAGCTGGGTGAGCCCCCTTCCTGGCAGTGCTCAAGGCCAGGTTGGATGGAGTTTTGGGCAACCTGGTCTAGTGGAGGGTGTCCCTGGCCATGGCAGGGGGGTTGGAACTAGATGATCTTTGAGGTCCCTTCCAACTCAAACCATTCTATGATTCTATGATTCTAAAGACTGTGAGAAGAAACCAGATCAGTCAGTGGTAACAACGTAATCTGCTAGCAGATTGTTCCATCCAAGTTAACTTACCTTTGCCTCTCATGTTATTCATCTCTTATCTATTACCATCACAATGAGAAAGAAAACAGTAAGATGCTATACTGAAAACATGAGATTTTAGAATTATTTATATTTCATATTGAAATACGTATCACAGTTATGAAGCAGCTCAACGGTTCCAGAGAATAATTTGCCAGAGGTGTCATTTTTGTCTTAAGTGAAAACCCTTACACCTCCAGGGTCAGGAACCAGGATTGTTTCTATAAAGAATTAGAAAAATAACAAAGACGAAAACATATACTTTCTCAAACCAAGGGAAAATTTCAACCATTTCAGACTTTCTATCTGTTGTAACAGGTTCTCATGAGAAAAGTCTCTCAATAGGGGGCACTGAAGACAGCCAGAGACAGCAGAGAATGCTCACCGCAAAGTATTTTGGAATCTGAAGGTCTGCAGAAATTCTATCCACATCTTTAAAAAAAAAAAAAAATTAGTTCATAACTAATGGTGAAAAATGACTTTACATCTCAAGAATGTGATTTCAGGCATTTCTCAACAGAATTAGGAAAGTGGTTGTCCTAAAATGGATTCCTATGACACAACATAAGACACATCACAGATTTTCACCTGTGGAATTCTTCTTTCCTATGATGCTATAAAAAAGGATACTCCTGGAATTACTTCTTTCTGAATTAAAATTAAATTTCATGCAAAACTAAAATGTGATACTGAACAGAAATATAACCATCAAAAAGGAATACCCTTAAAAGTATCAAAAGCTGTACGAAGCTCTTCTTTAACTGATGCCAATATATAGACTAGTGACTACCTGAGTACCTGACATTTCATGACTTTCCCTAAAATGTTACAGAGAGTGACTGGAGTAGCATAAGACCACACATTTAACTCAGCATAACCCTGGGAAACACATTGCCCTGCACCTACCAAAACCTTGCCAGAAAATATGTCAGCACGACTTGGGATACCAAACAGGCCAGGGACTGTTCCCAGTAGGCAGTACAGATGAGGTCACCCTGTGGAATTAGTTTAGCTGTATACACATAAGCTGTGCTCTTCCACTTCGCCTCAAGGCTAGAGAATTGACTGTGGCCATTTCATTTACTAGCACAACCCCAGCCTTTGCAGCCTTCAGGAAAGGTTTAAAAGTTTAGCTTGTCTCTTTTTTAGGTTGATCTCTGGGTTGAATTTATATTCTTTAAAATGTGTCAACATGGCCTTGCTATGAAAGGTGAGATAGTCCTGGCCAAGGAAAGTATTATGTTGCTGTCCAAGAAGTGATTGTCACCTATGTTTAAGGGAGACTCAGCCAGCAGGAGTCTCAAGATATAACAAAACTGTGGGGAAACCAAAGATCTAGTCATATGAAAGTAAGCTAAACAAACTCAGGTTACTTATTCCAGAAAAGTCAAACTGGAGAGGGAATAGAATTCTTCTTTATAAATATAGTGATAGGTGACACTGTTAGCACATATGAAAAAAATCTAGAAATATATGAATATATTTAAGCTGAAAAAATGAAGAAAGATTAATAGATTAATGGATTGATACCTTGATAAAAGCAATAGGGGAAAAGATATAATTAGCTTTAAAAAGGAACTTGGGTTCAAAAATTCAGTGACTCAAAAAGTTCTTTGCAGTTCTATGTTCTTGTGATACATAAATAAATGTTTCCACATGAAATGAAAGCAAATGTAAGATTAATCTAAGCAAAGATATTTCAGATGGATGCTGTGTGGTAAAAATAAGGCAGAGACAGTAAACAAACAGAAGGACTGGAAAGTCTCAGTGACTTTAGAAGTCTGAAAAAGAACCTATGAAGATGAACGTTAAGGATTAATGACAGAAGAATTTCAGTGTTCTCAGCAAAGTATCTTTATCTGTTTGTTGCATTCCTTCTGTATTCAAGAAGATGGAGCCTTGCTCATTTTTGAATGTACATTCCACTTTGAAGTTTTTATTTTCCACCAAAAATACCTACTTATCAGTAATTTTCCATCAAGGGCAAGCAAGCTCCTTTTAAGACTCCCAGTTTTGGCAAGCTATACATGTCAAAATGAATAAAAATCCTGCCATTTCTTATAATTTCTTGAATATTTTATGACCTCAAGCAACAAGAGATGGAAGGGCAGTTGTTCTCACTCTGGATTTTACAGCCTCAGGCAGAGCTAAAGGGGAAGAAATTTGTATGAACTGGTGTCTCAGCCTCTCTTTCTTTCCAATCTCTCCTTGCAAATATTCACTATTGATGCATACTCATAGTGACTGAATATAAAGATTCTTTGTCTAGTCAAGTCTACCCCCATACTTCCTTTTTTTTTTTTTTTTTTTTTTAAATCACTGTGGTATTAATATCCTTCTTGTCACACCAAAAAATCCATCTCTGGGATAATTGCACCTTAGTCTTTCTCCTTTTCCTTCTATTCACATTAAATAATTAAGTCTTTTACAACTCATCCCTCCTTTAGCTGCCATCCCTTCAATCAAGAAAATGCCTGTTTCTGATAAATTTTGTGGTACTAATCACAAATGCCCATCTACAAAATATTGAAGTTCAGGTTTGGGGTTTTTTTGTTTTGTGACGTCATCTACCATCTCCCACAGACGGAACTTCCCTGCAGACATAACCCACTGCCTCTTTTCCCTCTTTTCTGTTTTTGTTTGTTGTTATTTTTTTTCTTTATTTAATACTTTCATTTTGGAGTGTGCAACATTTCAGTTATGTTATGATTTAGTCCTTTTCATACTGACCAAAGTCTCATTTTCCTTGTGCTTATCTGCAGCCTGTCCACCCACAGATCAAGGTAAACTCTTTGTATCAGAGAATGCACTGTTTTCTTGTGTTCGTACAGCACCTAGTGACCCTAGCCCTCGTCTGGATGCAACAGTATTAGAAATTTTTAAATCAAAACCACTCAACTATTAAAAAAAAATAGTTGCTTGCCAAGATCATCTATATATTTCTATTCAGGTACTAGACATTATTTTGCTTGCTTACATTAACATCACAGCTTGAAGAAGAACAGCTGCAAACATTAATAGAGTCCTTCAGACCATATTAATTAGGCTAAACCCTAGTTTTTAATCATGGTTCACTTGAGATGGTTTAAGAGAATTGTCTCAAGTTTGGCCATCATTAGATCACTGGACTGAAATTACTATTGCTCAGTGTAACATAAGGAGAGCCTGTTCTACTTATTTAATGTTGAATCATTTTTTCACAAGCAAATCTTTATATAAACATAGAAATGAAATTTCTGATTAGATTTGATTGTTCAACATATGCATTAGATCTCCCTTTTTGAATCTGCAATCTTTCATGTTCAGCACGTTTGCCTTCCAACTAATTACTATTTAGCAACAGCACACTTTCATCACATGTAACTACCAAGGACTGACCCTTACACACAGCTATAACGTTTTATCAAGTTCTACATATGAAGATTACACTAAACTGCACGTAGCTGAAGCCAAGGCCTGGAGCCAGTGATCCAAACACAGCTAGTAGTCACAAGAGCCATGTAAACTATGCATGTGCTAGACAGAGAGTAACCAGAGTGAACAGCAATTGCTATACATACATAATACTGTAACAGGAGAAGAAATACTTGGGATAACAGGAGAAGAAATACTTGGGAAGAAGCAGGTGTTGCCATTGCTTCAGACCACTATTTTAGGACAGCAGTGCGTCGCTCAACATTGTCTAAGGCAACATTTCTACAAACATTGTCACCTTGTGTATCCCCCCAAAATGCTTACGTGATCAATGCGCAGTTATCCTACAGTCAAACCACTAACCTTAAATCTAATCAGTATGAGAAAGTCCAGAACTCACAGCCATTTAAAGAAACCAAACAATGGTCGTGTGTGCCAAGAACCCTGACTACATAAATCTCTGCAGGAACAAAAGGAGATAGAAGTTATCCTTGAGACGCCATCTCAACCACCAAAGAAAACAGCAGCTGGACAGTGACATGATCTGATAGGGGCTAACTCAGCACTGCTAAAAACTCACTATTTTTGTCACGTTTATACAATATACCTACTTTTCAGTAAATAATAACTGTGTCTTTGCCTCTGTCCTCTGCAGCTGCACTTGAGAGGAATAGCTCAGTGACTTCTATTGCAACAACTGCAAGCTTCAGTTTACTGTGGAAACACCTGGCTCAAGAAAAGATAGGAAAACAGAGTACACAGAAATTGGTATCTGAATCTGGTGTTCT